AATGTTGTTAGCTTCCAGAGTGAAATAACCACCCTGGAGGTTCTGAAGGAAGGGTTGGGCAGCTACTTGTTGGATACGCTTAGGTGCAATATATGGTGCCTTGCTTCAGGGTTGCAGAGCCAATCAGTACCAAAACGTCTAGTCTAGTTTAATTCCAGCAATCTATGTGTGTGCTCTAATGAGCATGCAGAGATGTTGCGACAGCAGGTGGGGATTCTTCCCATTCATTTCATGAGGAAGTTTCACATACATAAAGAGATATACAAAGCAGGGTCATCCCTTATGAATGAAAATATGAGATGCTACAATGAGCCCCCCCCAATGATGGGCTTCAATGGGTAAATCCATTCCCATTACTCACAACTATATTTTCTTTTCCAATCCTCCCGCCAAGAAACATGAATACTTGTTTTGTTGCTATCTTGTTTTATGATCCCATACTAGCATGTTTACGAGGGACGCGGGTGGCGCTGTGGGTAAAACCTCAGTGCCTAGGACTAGCCAATCGTATGGTCAGCGGTTCGAATCCCCGTGGTGGGGTGAGCTCCCGTCGTTCGGTTCCAGCTCCTGCCCACCTAGCAGTTCGAAAGCACCCTTAAGTGCAAGTAGATAAATAGGTACCGCTTTATAGCGGGAAGGTAACAGCATTTCCGTGCGCTGCACTGGTGCTGGCTCGCCAGCTGCAGCTTTGTCACGCTGGCCACGTGACTTGGAAGTGTCTGCGGACAGGGCTGGCTCCCGGCCTCTTAAGTGAGATGAGCATGTAACCCCAGAGTCGGACACGACTGGCCCGTACGGGCAGGGGTACCTTTACCTTTACTAGCATGTTTAAGATTGTGTTATTAACTACAATATGCTATTATATTACCTGCTAAAATGTTCCATTTGTAAGTCATTGGGGTAGGTACAATGCAATTCAGGTTTCTGGATAATTTCCATAATAATTCTTGATCTTTAACGGATAAGAATTTGCAAATTTGTAATATTATGAATTGTAATCAAAGCATGGATAAACCATGTCCTTAATGCAAGGCAGAATGGTAACAAATACTTAGTAATTCAAGGAGAATGATTTTTCACTCATAAGAGAGAGAAAATCTTCTGACCTTTTCCTTCTTTAAATTCAGTCTTACAGAAAGTTGGAATTTGGCAAGGAAATTGAGCTGCTTGTGTAGGAGGCATGCTATGTAATCCAAAACTAGAATACTTTTAATGGTGACTAGAGGGAGGCTGGATCTTCTTGCCCAACTACGTGATGGTCTTTTTCAGTTCTTGTTTTAAAAGTTAATGTGGCAGATCTCTACGGAACAGAGAACTTCCAGATGCTGCCCTTGAAAAATGGATCTGAAACTGGAAATGGTACAGAATGTGGCAGCTAAAACACTTCTGGAAGCTAAGCATTCAGGTTATATTACAGTGGTACCTCGGGTTGCATACGCTTCAGGTTACATACGCTTCAGGTTACAGACTCCGCTAACCCAGAAATAGTACCTCGGGTTAAGAACTTTGCTTCAGGATGAGAACAGAAATCGTGCTCCGGCGGTGCGGCGGCAGCAGGAGGCCCCATTAGTTAAAGTGGTGCTTCAGGTTAAGAACAGTTTCAGGTTAAGAACGGACCTCTGGAACGAATTAAGTATTTAACCCGAGGTACCACTGTACTTTCGCTACATGCTGTACTGTATATTAAAGACTGCCTTCTTCCTTACAGACCCTAACAGTTGTGAAGATCAACAGAGGGCTCCCTCTTGGCAGTTCTACCTCTCACAAAAGTTTGGGCTGTTGGTGGTCTGAGGGTGGGTATTCTCCGTGGCAGCCCCTAAGTTGTAGCATTCCCAGAGGTGAGTCTGGCTTCTTCACTATGCAGCTTCTGGTGAATGCTGAATATGTACTTCTTTACCTGAAATGTTTTTTCAGGGCCACCCTATTCCTGTACGTACTGAATTTTTAATTTTATGCAATTTACAGTCTTATAAACTGCCTTATGAGAGCAGTGCAGTCTTCAAATAAGTGTGCTGTATCTGATTAGTCCACACACAGAAATGAATGGATTCAAGTTAATCACATCCAAAACATATATTTAAAGCATGTTTAACACACATTCTAAGCACATGGCTTCCCCCAAAGAATCATGGGAACTGTAGTTACTTAAAGGTGTTGGGAATTATAGCTTGGTGAAGGATAAACTAGAACTCCCATGACTCTTTGGGGGAAGCCATGTGCTTTAAATGTCACATCTCATTTAAATCTATTGAGTATGGCTTGGTTGGATACAGCCCAATATAAATAAAACAGAAGTTATATGCATTTCATAAATAATGTTTCACTTGTTCTAACTAACCCAACTTGCGGATATGGCCCAACCACCCTGTATTGTGGCCTATCTAGTGCTTCACCTGTTAATCCAAATTATTTTGGCATACAATATGAAAATTGCTTACAGTTGTCAGTCATGACTAAGTCAAATCCTATTGCTTTTGATAGGTCTACTCTGACGAAGATTGGATCCAACTCAATGTATTTTTGTGCAAATCACTCGTGATGTAATTATTTAGATAATCTTCAGCTCTCTAGGGATGTTGGATGTTTACTGCACCAGCAGGTCAACTCTGCTGTTACTCATGAATAGAACACGTGATTATTCTAAACATAAAAGCTCAGAAGTTTTTCTGAAGGAGGAGATTTAAACAAAAAAATGTGGAAAATCAATTGTGTGTGTTAAAGATGCAACAGGAGAGAGGGAAGGTGCTTTGGCACTGCTTAGGATTTTCATAACTCTTGCATTACCAGTTCATTTGCCATTTTCATTGAAGGATGTTTCTCATTAACTCTGTAATTTAAAGATTTCATTTTACTGGCCTTCTTATGAGTTTCTGGAAAAACACTCCACAAAGTGATTGTGCAATTTCTTACAGAAAGAGAGTCATTATGACCCACCAAGAAGACTGAGAACATGCAACCCTCCAACATGAATAGAATCTCCATTAAAAGCATCAATATTTCAGATACGTTTTCCACTTTTTCCAGATGAAAAATCTCACTAGAATTGCTATCCAATGCACATTTTCCTCGAAGTAGGTAATATTGAATTCAGTGGAGCTTACTTCCTGGCAAACATGCATAAACTCGGGCTATAGGTGTCACAGCAAGAAGGCAGAAATCATGCATATGAGAACATTAAAGCAATGTTTTTCCTAAGATAGCTGCGGCTACCTCAAATCTCCATCATATGGTAGCTTATCATATATGCAGCATGTCACGTGGACACAGTACCACTCAAGGGAAAGAGATGTTTTGTGTACAATGCAGTTAACACACTAAAATCCCCATGTGACCTAAATTATACCCAAATGCATGAATCAATGAAAAACTTCTGTTGGGACCAGTGCACTTTATAACATTTAGAATAAAGAATGATGGGGTTAACAGTCCGCTCTCATTCCCACAATGGACTTAACTCCTTGCACTGTATGACATCAACATCATAAGTTATTGCGCAAAAGTACATTGCTTCTCAGTTGTTATCGCCACTACATCCATCCTAGTACAGTGGCACCTTGGGTTTAGAACTTAATTCATTCCATAGGTCCGTTCTTAACCTGAAACTGTTCTTAACCTGAGGTACCACTTTAGCTAATGGGGCCTCTCACTGCTGCTGTGCCGCCGCCGCGTAATTTCTTTTCTCATCCTGAAGCCAAGTTCTTAACCCGAGGTACTATTTCTGGGTTAGCAGAGTCTGTAACCTGAAGCATCTGTAACCTGAAGCATCTGTAACCTGAGGTACCACTGTAGTGTCATGCATTATCAGAAATAACAGCACGGGTGACCATTTGAATTGCTAACCATCTCCAATGTTCTGTACTTTACTCCCCACAAGATGACATTCAAAAGTTGTTTTCACATGTGTGTGGGCTCAGTGAAAGAAAATACTTTCTCCCATAGACTGCCTCTCTGGCAAGCTAAGTCAACAACCTCAGGATTCTTATTGGCCTCTGGGAAGAACTATCACAACGTTTACTGCCCTCTTGGCATCTAGAATTAAACAGCACAAGCTAAGCAACAGGCTGATACTCAGCCACAGATTCCTTATACAGTATATATTTCTGTTGCCTACTTAGATTTATTTCTGTGGCTAAAGAAAAACTATGCTTCACAACTACTTCCTAAACATTCCCAAACATCATTTTTTGATGCCTTATTCTCTGGAGTGCAAAGTCCTAAACCTATTCGGAGGTTTTCATTTTCATTGTCGAGTGCATTCTTATACACATCTACTCAGAAGTAAGTGCTACTGAGAGACCAATTGGATATGTTTCCAGGTGCGTGGGTAGAGGACTGCAGCATAAATGATTTAAGTGACACTTAGTGGTCACAAGCTATAGAACATAATAATGCATGCATGCCAAAGTGTGATTTGTAAGTGAAGGCGAGTCTTTAAACTTTAGATTTTCAGCACATGCAACCTACAAACTAAATATTTTCCAGTCTTGAAAGGGGAGGGGGGAATGCCAAGTATATTTCACAAGCCAGTTAAGCCTCTGCTAGAACCTAATCATTGCCAGATGTCTAGAAGCAATACTAAGAACATCGTGAAATGCTGGCAACCCCCCACTGCGCTCTCTGAAAAAGGGGGAGGGGAAAAGGGGGAATGAAAAAAGGATAGGTGGTCAAGAAAAATGTGCTGGGGAAAGCAGAAATTGTTGTGTGGGTGAGTACTTCATTCTCCTGGACAGATTTTTCCAATCCAAAAAAAATCCAAAAGGGGGACCTGTAAACAACTAGCAAGAAGCTGAGCTCAGACTTTTCTCGAGGAACAAATGGCAGCTTTCATCATTAATGGACTAGAGCACGGACCTAATGCAGCTCCACACGCAGACGCTTGCGAAAATATTTGCTCCTACAATAAGCACCACATGTTCATTGCTGACAGACTGCTGCTCCCACAGCCCAGCTCCTTCCCCAACACTCTCTGAAAGAGCCACACGCCTTGTTCCCTTGCTTACCTTTCATGTTGGCAGGCAGGGCAGCCGCATAGGAAACTTTCAGGCGCTGGTGAAGTTTGTTCCTTGTTGCACAGAACTCCTTTATGAGACTCTCATGCCGGGCAGCTCCCTGGAGCTTCTGATCAGAGGGTGGATGGAGCTCTCTGGACTAGCTGCTTGGAGCACCAGCCTTTCCCCCTCTGGTCTCTCAGAAGAGTAAACTTTGCAACTCTCCCCACCGGCCTGAACTCAGACGACCAGCCTCTGCCCCTCCTCTCCAATCTCTGCTGGCTTTGGGAAACGACAGAAAGCTGCTGGCTCCACAGCTCTCCCCCCCACCTTCACTCCAGCTTTCCCCGCCTCTTTCACGAGTTGGGCTGTAAATTGAGGCAAGGGAAGAGTCTGCAATAATAAACCCTCAGGCGAAGGTTGAATGAGGAGGAGGAGAGAAGCTCTGAAGAAGGGTTGTTCCCTCACACTGCGAACCGCAGCCTCCCCTGACTTCCAGGCTGTCCTGCAAAATCCCTGAACTCTCAGCCGCCCTCCCGTCACCACGACACGGGGTTGACTCTTCCACAGCGGGCTCCGAGGGAGGCGAAAAGTGGTGGTTTGGCGCAGGGCGGAGGTGTAAACTTTCTTGGCCCAACCGCTCTGAGAGGATGGACTTAAAAGCGAGGGAAAAGCCCAGCCACTGTCAGCTCTTCGCTGCTGATATAGGCTCGTTCCTTCCGTCCCAGGGAGGTGGGGAGTCTCGGTTCTTGTGAATAAAAAATAAATAAATGGAGGAATAATCGAGGCACATGTATCCTGAAGGTTGAAGAATCACCACAGAAGTAGCTAATGTCGCTTCAGCTTCGATTGGGTCTTCATTCGAAAATACAGCACAAATGGCTTTTTTTAAAAAAAAAATGTTGACGTGTTTCCCCCCGTTTATAAAACGATGTGAAAAACAGGTTCAGTTTTTAATGTCAGTTTAAAATAAGAACAAAGGCACCAGACCGTCACGCATGCACAAACCACATAGGATAACTTAAGCTCCCTGCCAGTAAACATGCTCTGCAGTCTCACACATGTTGTAGCAGTGTAAGCTTAAAGCACACGGCTTCCTCCAAAGAATCCCGGGGGCCATAGTTTACCCCCCCTCATAGAACTACAGTTCCCAGGATTATTTGGGAGAAGCCATGAGGCGATCCAGTAGACGCCAAATATATGGAACATTTGACAAAGACAGTCACAAAAGATCCTCGAATAAGTTTTCATGACATGGGATAAGAGGGGTAGCCTATGTGGTGCCCTCCAGATGCTACTGAACTATGATTCCTATAATCCCTGACCATTGGCCCTTCTGGCTGGGGCAGATGGGAGCTGTAGTCCAACAGCATTTGTGCCCTCACCATGTTGGCTACCCCTTGGATCAGAGGTCAAAGTGGGGCAGTCATCTCCACCCCTTGGCCATGACTCTAGCTACACACTCTTAGTCTGAGCAATTTCAGCATAGGCTGTGTTGTTTCTTTCTTTGTAGAGGAGATCTAGGATTGCATGGTGCAGTCTCCCCGGGACAGTACCATTTTAGGTTGCAAGCAACGTTGCCAAATTGACAGCCCAGAAACCCTGTTTCTCCTCCAAGCGCTGAGTTGGAGTTGGCTGCTGATACTGAAAAGCAGCTGGAGTGGAGATGACCTGAACATCCTTACCAGAAGAGATGCAAGGCTGCAAGTCAACAGAGGAGATAGATGTTTAAATACTGTTTTCAATGTGTTTGCTGCTGCCATCATCTCCGTTGATTTGGGGCTGCTGACTGTGTCATTTTTAATGGAGATTCCTTGGTCATTTTGTGTGCTTACAGTGTGTGTGTGTATATATATATGGTTTTTTATTCATAAACAAAGGAAACAAAAACCACAAATACCAACAGCTGCCCACAAAAATGGCAAAACAAATGATAAGGAAAGAGGGGGAGGCATCAGCCTAATATATGTATACAATTCTATTCCATGGGTACATAATCAGAAGTAATTATATTGCATTTTAATTCATGCATTCCAAATTTCCAAGGATGCTGCAGGCAGGTGCACTCATTATAGTTTTTACTGGGCATTACACAATGCACAAAAAAAACTCATTTCAAAACACATTAGATATGACAGGGCACATGGGGGTGTCATAGAAACAACACCATAAAAAATGTTGATATTCTGGCATCTGAGAAGGGGACTCCCACTCCCATTACAATGTGTCAGAACTGGTGTAAAAAGAATAATATTGTTTAAGAATAATTAGATGTATTAGTAAGGATCGTGAGCGCAGAGATCTAAAATATTTCCGGATGAAGTATTTGTTGACAATATTTGCAATTGTCGAGATGTGATTTTTAGGAAATTGAGAACAGTAATGCAGGCCTTGCTGAATTGTGCATTTCTTTATTATTATTTATTGAATTTAAATACCACCATATACCTGGAGGTCTAACGGCGGTTCACAGAATAAACTATGTCTGCTTAAAAGAAAAATGGACATGGACATTATTTTTTAATAAGCCTGTTTACATTCTTAAGCATATTGATTCATTTATGCTGTCAGTCTACATTCCAGAAAGAATGACTTAAAGGTGAATAAGTTAAAAAAAAAAGGTTTACACAGTGTTAGCAGGCCGATCCACAACCCAGTTATGACAGAATGTTTGGATGTAAGATGATTTACAGTTTGCTCCTATGTAAACTTGCACAGGATATGGCTGTATGTCATCTTCATCCCAGTTACCTAAGCAATAAATAGAACTGGGGAACCTGATAATGTGCAGCCTGATCCTATGTTTGCTTAGGCAGAAGGAAGCCCCACTGAATCCTATGGGACTTACTCTTAAGTTAGTGTCAGAATTTAGTCCTTCCCAGAAATTGATCCTGAGGTCTCCTCAGATGAACAAGGGGAGCAGGACCCTCCAGCATCTCTCCACACTGCCAGTGTCCCTGACCCCTAGGGCTTTGAACAGCTGTTGTTAAACAAGTTTTATTTGGGAGGAATGGTCCCCATCTGCACAGATAACCAGTTTGAAGGGAGACTGTGCTACAGTCTCAGACTGTTTGTAGTGCACGCTTCAGTTCCATCATTTGAACAAGCAGATATCATTACAGGAGCTGACACAATATCTGAGTGATGGACTTACACATGCCAGATATGATGATTCGGTTCCGCTTTACCCAGAAATGCCTCAGTCTGGAAGTTCTTTAACTAAACCTGCATACATGCCATACTTTCAAAGCACATTTGAATGATCAAACAATTCTGGGCAGTGTAGTTTACCCCTCACAGAGTTACAAATCCCAGAAATCCTTAAGAAACTACAGTACCCAGAACTCTTTGAGGCAAAGAATAGGCTTCAATTGTGGTTTAAAAGCTATAGTGTGTACATTGCCTAAATCACAGTGATGTCCCCTTAGAAGTGGTTGACTGGAAAGCCAGCAACAAGCCTAAAAAATGCAGAATCAAATAAATACAAGATATGAAGAACATTCCTTAAGAGATGATACTGTGTACAAAAGCTGGATGTTTCTTTAGACGATGAAACACTTATATCTGAAAGGCATTATAGTTCCTTTTATCCGCTATGGAATGTGGCCTCAATCAACAGCTATGTTTGGACCTTAGATTATGTATAAACTTGCCAAGATGGTAAGATCACTGCAAGAAAAGTAGATTTGTTACTCAAGTATCCTATTTTAATATTTGCCGATTCCAGTTGTAGTCATTAACATTTACCATCCAGAAAGCAAGCATAACTAAGCTTAGAGAAAATAAGTGTTGAAACACACTACTCCCTCCTAATTTGAAACTGGAGAGCATACAAAGGCTTTGTAAACTGTTTAAGCATGATGCTGATCATACAGTATTTTGGTCAGTGCCTCTGTAATTCATGTAAATGACTGTTTATGAACGTACTGAGCCTTTGATGTTTTGCTTTCCTGGCTAGGATAACTGCTTTAGTAAGTGTTTCTAGTTTTCTTTGACCTTGATTGTTTTGGAGTAGTGGTGAGAGGGTGGGAGCTGAGCAGGCTTCAGAAAGAATAGGCATACCAGAAGAAGGTTGCATACACACCATATATTTAAAACACACACACACCAATAATCCTGGGAACGGTAGTTTGCCCTTTACAGCACAATTCCCCTTTAAAACTACAGTACACCCTTTAAAAAACTAGCTTCCAGTATTCTTAGTGGACAAGGGGAATGTGTTTATATGCAGCCAAATAAGAAGGGGAAGGAAGAAATCTCTAATATATTGCTCAGTCTATATTACAGTAGCAACTCTGCCTCTTAGGCTATATTGGCACTATAGTATTTCCTTTTCTGCTCTGCACATTTTGGATATGTGTTGCTTACGCCAGAGATTTTCAATCTTTTGGGTCCTTTTGTGACCAACTACATTCTTTCTGCGGCACCCGTGGGGCTCAGGAGCACACATATGTTACCCCTTGCCTGCAGAGCCAGCAACCCTTCACCCCTTTTCAAACACCCTCCCTTGGGGGGTGTTCCTCAGTTTCCTCTCTTCTTGGGAGTTGTCTGGGCAGCTGTAACTGCCACTGCTGGTCTCTGAGCTGCCCCCATCCTGCCCGAAAGAGAGGTGCCTCCTCACACTGCCCCACCGGGGCCTGAGAAGCATCCCTGGCCAGACCCAGAGACACCATTCACCTGAGGAGCTTTTAGCCAGGGCTGCTGCAACAAACAGGTGTGCAAGCCTTTGGGAGGCAGAGACACAAGAGGGCGTCAGAAGAGGGAGGGAGGGAGGGAGGGAAAGAAACTGTTGCCTGCAGCACCCTGGACTATCATTCAAGGCACCCCAGGGTGCCATGGCACACTGGTTGAAAACCACTGGCTTACACCATTTGCCATGCATCATCTCTCATTCCCAATATCCCAATTGCTCACCTGTTAATTTCTGGATGGATTTTGCTAGAGGGTGAGGTGGGAAGACATGGAGATGTGCATGTTAAAAGACAGAGCAAATGAAGAAACAAGCATGCAGATACACACACAGGCACAATGTAATAATGGGGGAGGGGGCGGGGAGATGGTGGCACACAAAAACACACCCATCATTGTCATAGTCAAGTTTACAGAATGCCCAGGCCCACACATTTGTGTAGTAAGTATAGCAGGCTCCTCTTCTGACTGTTAGCATTGAAGGGTGGTGGTAGCATTGCACCAGTAGTGATTTCCAGATGTTTACAGTGCAGATTACATAGATCAGATGTACATTACAGATGCCTCAAATTTGCCCTGACACATGGGAAACAACTATCCCAGACACTGTCATAGATTCCATTCATTGTGCCAGTAAGGGAAATTGGGGCCCCTGTCTGGTGCGTTACTATTTCCATTTCTGACAGTGACGCCCCCTCCCCAATCCCTTGATGGAATTCAGTAACCCAGATCTCTGGGAGACAACATTTCAGCTCTGCTACACAGCCTCGTTGCTTTGCCTGATGCTGTTCCATAGCCTAGTATGCAAAGAATAAGACTGCTACACAGGGGCAGTAAACCTGCATGCAGGTGTTCCAATGAACATATGGAACAACTAGTGCATGCACATACAGATTCCTCCATTTATTGCAATGTCATGGACTGTTCTGCATTCACGCTTATGTTTCATGCAGAAACAGA